AGTGATGGCCCGCTAAACTCCGCCACAACCAATTAAAGGAGCGGTGTAATGCCTACGGTTCGAGCACGAAACTGATAATGCTGGTCATCGGAAACTATCACTCAATTGACGTCCCAACTGTACGACACGTAGTCGTTCTTCCGAACACGCAAAGCGCTAAGGATGACGTACCAGCTTGTGCCCGACAACTTGAGCAGTGTCTTTCTACTACTAACAACACGGGAAGCGCGTCTCTTCTGTAGTCTTAAGGAGCCTTTAGCGATGGGTCTTTACGCTGTTCTTGAGCAAATAAGCCAAACAATGCTTACTGACGGTGCTCCATAATTTCAACAGCAAACAACGTGATGGACAAAGCATTCTCCGCCTGTCGCAACCAGGACACAAAGCAATACCCCCTCTTGATCTAAAAACAGAAACAGAAGATGTAGCTCTCATCTCCCCTGTCTCAAAAGAAAACATGTAAGACTTAATGTTAACTAATTCCCACCACAACCAACACAAACCAAGCAGGCAATTATCTCTCGTCTTTCGCATTCTCCGGAGGAGAAAGAATCAAATTTTCTCATAGCATTTTTGGTTCCTTTAGCAAATTACGATCTCGACTTATTACAACCTGAATACAGGCGAAGAGCAAACTGCTTTCCAAAATACACACACCGTATAAATACCGCGCATGGCAGGCTCTTTAGCTTCCTACTAAGCTTTAACTCCTTAATGATATTCACCACGTCAGCGAGTGTAACAGCGACCTCAAACACGAGCGATTCCGCTACGCTGATCCTCGCATCCTGTGCGCGTTGTGAGCCGAGGAAAAAAATCTACACTCTTCCACGGTCCAGCCGTTTTCGTAATCTTCCTAGTGACCTGGCACACACGCGCAGAGATGATGAGTGGCCGCAGAAGGCCCGATAGAGAAGTGATACCTGGAGGAAATACAAGGAAGATAAGGCAGTTAGCGTGTGTGTGAGGAGGGGAGAGAGGTCGACAGAAAAGATACGAAACCGGAAAAGAAACTTTATCTTTTCTGAAAACTCCCGGTGTGGTCTTACACGGAAGTAATCTGTTTCTCACAATCCATTTTCTATAAGCTGCAGCGGAATGTCATCAGTACCACATTTTATTAAGCCTTCAATTTTGTCTTCGACGCCGGCGGCGCAGTTATTTCTCAGGCTCGCTGTAAATTCACTCAGCAGAAACACATTCCTCCTATCGCAAGCAGTGTTTTACTTATATATACAATGACGTGCTGTAATTAAGGGTAATATCTCTCAATTAGCTTGCATAAATCAGTGAGGTGCTCCACCCATCGAATCTCTCCTCAATGGCCAAGCCTTAACATCGGAAGGACGAGAGTTCATATCCATCTCATCCTGGATTTCGTTTACAATCTTTGAATCCATTTCAAGATTACCAGACGTAGTGCGTTTAGAAAAGATTCGTCAGCTGTGATCCTACGCCGAAACACACTCATCCATTCCAAACTTCACTGAAGTAAGAATATACTGCCAGAATCACCTGGAACTATACCCAATTCCTTTTTTAACCTTATAAATTATCGACGATTCTGTTAGAAGTGTCCGTTCAGCTGTAATCGCCAACACCACGCCTTTTCATTTGAAACTTCTAAAAGAGCAATTCCTTTTTTACATTTTTGAAATGCCTCTACTTGTTGATTTATTGTTTGACAAAATAGCCAAGAGAACCCCCCGCGACGTATTCGCCGGAACATAGATATTGCACATGCAAAGTGAGCGACCCCGCTTTTCTTTCCTAACTGCCATTTTCCGTAACTACTCTGTTCCGTTTGTTTCTTTCCACCGGTCACTGGCGAGCGCTGCTTGAGGCGGTACGCTGGCCGGTGGGCCGCAGGCGCAGGGAGTGAGCGTGGGCGAGGAGTGACGCGTGGCGAGGAGTGGCGTGGCGAGGCCGGCGTGGGGCGAGGCCGCGTGGGCTCTACGGGAGTGGGCCGTGGGCGAGAGTGGGCGCCTGGGCGGGGAGTGGCGCGCCGGGAGTCGGCGAGGGCCGAGGGAGCTGGGCGAGCGCCGTGTCTGGGAGTGGGCCGAGGGACGTGCGCGCCGTCGGGCGAGAGCGCGAGGTCCGGGCGTGGCGAGCGCGAGTCGGGCCCCGTGGCGAGGGAGTGCGGCCGTGGGCGCGCCGGGGAGTGGACGACGGAAGTGGGGCGCTGGGCGACGGGGCACCGTGGCCAGAAGGAGTGGGCGTGGGCGAGGGAGTCGGGGCGTGCGGCGAGGGAGTGGGCCCGTGGCGAGGGAGTGCGGCGTGGGCCGAGCGGAGTGGGCGGCGGGAGCGGGAGGTGGGCGAGGAGAGTGGGGAGTGGGAGTGCGTGCAGAGGAGCGGCGGCGAGGGCGGAGCGAAACGCGGCGTAGAAACGCCGGCCGCTTCCTGCCGCGCTCAATGGAGTCAAAGGCTCGGCGCCGCTCGTCCGAGGGGAAAACGAACCAGCGAGGCGCAGCGAGCGAGCGAGCGCCGTGGCA